TCTGTCGGGAAAAGGGTGGGGGTTGGCATGACAGAATAAAAATAACTATCGATTGACCACCTGTAATACGTACGATGCTCAGGGAGGCTGTAAAGCCAGGCACAAGATAAACATAACCAACTGGTATTTTGTAGATCGTTCTCTTGGCTGTATGTAACGATGGGTTGATCCATTGAAGGAACTATCCGTAGTATCTTGTATCGATCCACGTTGCACAGAAGTTAATTTTTTGATCCATCTCCATATGCATGTATGAGCCTATGTTGACCTTCATTCGCACCGTACGTAGGCAACCGTGCTAATCGGAGGTGCGAATGTGCTGATGCCCACACCCAACAAAAGCACGCACAAATTGTATACCGTACACAAGTTCCTAGGTGTGTTGTTACAGGATCGCAAAAGCAAAAGAGGTGGTGGCTTCAATCCAACAGTGGATTGACAGCAAGGCTCATAATTATGTTGGTCTTGTGAACGTATTGAGGCTGTAGTGGTGACACCCACTTTGAGTGGGTGAGGCTGAGGTTTGGTTATGAGCCAACTAACTTTTTTTTATTCCACATGTTTTTGCATGATTCTCACGATCTACATCATCATCACCGGTCCTGTCATAAGATGATGATAGTGTTGATGACGAAAGGAAAATACGTTTCGCTTAACGTTGCCTCACTTAAAGTCGCATTTTTCAGAAATGCGACTGAAAATGCAATTGATGGCTTTATGAACAAATCTGTGATAAACCACGTCAAGTTTCAACTGCTTTGATTTTCACTCACCCGCCCGGTTGTCGTCGTCCGATTACGACTTATACAACACGTCAATTTACTTGCTAATTTCTCCAGCCCCACCCCTCCATGCACGCCACAAACCCTCCCCCCTCTCTTCCCGGTGCCTCCCGTCCCTGTACACCACAAACCCTCTTCCCTCTCCCTTGTAAACTCCCACTGCCAAACTACTTCCCCACCCATCTCTCTCCCCTCCCGTGCCTATATAAAAGCACAACTACAGATCATTTTCTCACACCGGAAGATGGATGCTTGTGTTGCGACCGAAACGTCGTGTTTTCTTTTGTTCTAATATTTTTTTCTATCCACGTGACTTTACCGAAAGAACCAGAGAGTATGGATTCCTGCAGTCACGAAATCTTCAAATCAAGATAGAAACGTAGGTCTTCGCTAGCTTCTTGTAACTATACGTAAGCAATTTGTATAATTGGATGCAACTGGCAGTATCTGATGCAACGTTCTTGAGTAATATCGTAGACAGAGCTAAATGGAAGATGTATGTATGTTGAATTTCTTTCGCACCGTACATACGCCAACAGTGCTAATCTGAGGTTTGGGACCATGATCGCTGAGGTTTTGCAATGTAGAGAGAAACAAATATATACAACAGGTGACGTCATGGACAATTCGCCTTCTTCATAGCACATATGTTTAATGCTTTTATAGCTCAGTTTTGTAATTTGTGATATAATCAATATATAGTTAATGTATTGAAGGAGATTTGGATTGCAGAGAATTTAATATTTGGCTTTGATTAAACGTTAATTTATGTTTGCAATAGTTTCGGTTCCTCAAGTTATACAGCAAATGTATGCTGTACTTAATTTTATTTGTTTTGCTTTTTTCATTTTGCAAATGAGAATCATCCTGGTCTCTTGAGTTCTCAAATGAATAAACAAATTAAATGTGAAACTTGGTTAAAGCTGATTAAATATTCTTCTGGCTGAGTTCCTTAGACAGGGCCATTATGAACCTCACATGACCTTTATAAAGCTCCTCATGAAGCGAGATAAACTAAGACCTATTGGTTGAATCCAAGACTTGACAGCACGTTGTCTCTGACATCGTCATTATAAAATTCACACCGCCATCATGAACCTCTTGAGACTAAGAGACTTCCAGACATTGACTCCATGCGCTATGAAGGTTGTCTTGTCAATGGCTTTCATGCAGCCATTGTGAACCACCTGATAATATAATCTGACTTCCAGACAACAGGGCTTGAACCCTGAACTTTGGTGGTGCAAACGCAGTGTCTCCTAAGGCAACCATTACGGGTCGTGTATTGTTAATCACGGTGCTGTGTCTGTGCAGGTGCACTCAGTACTTACTTGAAGGAAATGGTTTCCGGAGCACATTGACGAATAATTTCACGAAGTCCCAAAGCGATGGAAATAATTAAGGAAATTGTGGAGAACGAACCAAAAACTCCACATAGCCATATGGGTATGGGACTTATAGGTGGAGTTGGATTTGTAGTTGGCGTGGGAGTTGTGGTTGGCGTGGAAGTTGTGTTTGGCGTAGACGTTGTATTTGACGTTGGAGTTGTGGTTGGTAGAGACGTTGTATTTGACGTTGAAGTTGTTGATATTTTTGCTACAGAAGACAAAATGCACACACGCACACACTCTAATAAAGCGTATATATACCCAACACACGCAACAACAACAACCGCCATTCGCCACTAAGTGGCGGTGACGTCACCACGACGCTTGTGCTAGGCTATGCGCACCTTGAGGCCACGTGAAGTGTCGAACGTCCACTGGCAGGAAGTCACGGGGCAGGCCCAGGTGCCACGGGTCGACTGACTGAGATGACTGGCTGATGCACCACCTGTGCCCCCTACTGTGCCAACTTGCTGTGATTTAGCCACCTGGCGTCCTGCTCGTTGTTGTGAGCGTTGCTCCTCTGCCCTCCGTTTTTGTTGGAGGGCGACTGCCTCTAATTGCCCAGTAGCATCCTTCACGAGCCTCCTCCACAGAGGCCGATATTTACACCACTGGTACCAGTTATCGGCAAGTCCACTCAACTCCACATCCACATCATAACATCTCTTCTCTAGCCCGTGCCGCGCCCTTTTAGCCCCCTCGATCCGGCCGAACAAAAGTTGTTTAGGCATGCGGTGGCTGGGCATGCAGGCTACATGGCCCAGCCAACGCAGCCTTGACTGCCGTAGGAGCTCACCGATGGGACTTTGTCCAGATCTTTCAAGGATTTATGAGCTCCTCACACAATCCAGCCTGGTTGAACCCAGGATGGATCGTAGGCAGGCCAGCCTAAATGTTTCTAGCCGGCGAAGATGTTCCATTAGGGGGGGTCCACGTTTCGCAAGCATAGAGAAGGAAGAATATGGCCATGGCCGAGAATACCTGGAGCTTCATGCGGAGCAAGAGACCAGGTAGCTTCCACACAACGTTACGCAACCGATGAAAAGATAATGCCGCTCAACCGATTCAGAGTGAGACCTCTGCTGTTAAACCGGAGCCGGTCATGAGCACACTGCCCAGGTATGGGAAACTCTCCACTCTCTCCACAACTGCCCCATTACCAATTGAGAGTTGTGGGGGTGGAGTGTCCGATGGTACAAAATACCCAGGCAGCTGTTTAATTTTGGTGGGGCTGATGGTAAGGCCCCACCTCTTAGTGGCAAGCTCCAGGTTCAGCAGCAGCGCCTCCAACTCCTCCTTTGAGTGAGCAGTTATCACCAGATCATTGGCATACGTAACATGGTTGAGCAATAGGGTGCCATCCCTTGACCGCACCCGGGCATCGATCAGCCTCCCATTGTATCTGTACCAGATGGAAATTCCTCCGGTACAGACATTGAAGGCTTCACGAACTACCTGGTCAAAATAGATGTTAAATAATGTGGGAGCCAGAGAGCATTCCTGTCGCACCCCAAGGTGTACAGGGAATGGCTCTGATTCTCTGCCACGTAGTTTTACCCGGGCCCACTCACCATCATGAAGGTCCTTATTGATCGTGAGCAAAGGGTCAGGGACTCCAAAAGCACGAAGAACAACCCAGAGCCCAGGGCTACTGATGGTATCATAGGCCTTGACCAGGTCAATAAAGCAGAGATGTAGGTCTTGTTGGAATTCCTTACAACTCTGCTGTAGCAAACGGACAGAAAATATGGCATCTGTGCAGGACCCGCCCTTTCTTAAAACCGCATTGTGGCTCCGCAAGCCTCTCCTCAGTATGCCTAGCAAGGCGATGTTGAATAATCCTTGCCAGGACCTTTCCCGGCACACTGAACAGTGAGATGCCCCTGTAGTTGTTACAGTCTGTGTGGTCCCCCTTCTTAAAGAGGGGGACTACCAGGGCATCCTTTCAATCCTGTGGAACCCGTTCAGTTGTCCAGAGTGTTGTTATTATGGCATGTAGTGCAGTCTGTGCACATATACGCCACCGTCCCTCAGCATTTCGCTTGGGAGATCATCTCTGCCCGGTGCCTTTCCTGGTCTCAGACTCTGGATCGCCTTCAGTACTTCCTCAACAGATGGCACCTGAGCCAGCCACTCACAGGGGGTGACTTCTTCCTCCAATATTGTAGGCACCGCAGCCTTGGCAGGGTCATCCCCATTTTGCCCCATGTTGTTTCCTGGGTGAGGGATTTTTCCTCCCCCAGGACCTCACAGAAATGCTCACAACAAATCTGCAAACCTGTTCCTGGGGTTTGGAGATTGGATCACCGTTCTTTCCCCAAATGATGGTAATAGCTGTGGCACTGCAGGTTACTTTTTTGATTGAATTAAAGAGCGAATTGTGAGGCAGACTCCATCTTCTCAGCAACCCAAAACCACCACCTATCCTTGCAGCGCCTCACAGCTCTCTGAACCTCCAAGCAAAGGCTGCCATAAGCCTTCTCATTCTCCGACGTGGGATGCTGTAGCCGATGAGAGTGGGCCTGTCGCTTTTTATCAGCCAGCTTGAACACCTCTGTCAGCTCGGGTCTCTGGGGAGGTCTGGACCGTGTTCCCAAAGCAGCCATTTCAGCTGCATGAGCCACAGTTCTAAACCTCGCCCATTTCCCCTCGACATCAGGAGGAGTGGGGGAGGATGCCGACCCCAGCCACAAGCGATGATGGAATTCTCGCTTGCAGCTTTCATCAGTTACACACATGAGTGCACGCACATATACAGACGACAACTTTCTCTTGATATTCTCTTGTCTTCTTTCTCCAAGCAATCCTATTCTGGTATACAGGAGGCTGGGGGTTCGATCCCGACCCTGATGCCTGCTGTATGTTTGGAGTTTGCATGTCTCCCTCTCCGTGGTCGAGTAGATGTTTTTCTCCGGGTCCTCAAGTTGTTCCCTTTACATTTAGAACCAACATGCATTTCGAGTATTTACATTATTTGGCTGCTTATAAATGTTCACGTGATAAGCCACTTTGTTGAGATATCATGTGTGGCCAGGCCAGGTCGCTTCTGAAAATAAGTTAATAGGTCAGTGGGTTTGGCCTGGTAAAATAAACACAAATATATGTTAGTAGTTTATTTACCTTTCCTATACTTTGCACTCCAATCGTATTTCCCTATTATTTGTTGTTATAACTTTCTGACCCCCCCCCTACTGGACATCTGTGAAACAGAGCTTCATAGCTCATCGGATTCCTCCAGTATAAATACATATTCTGATTCTGATTCTAAACTTCACAGTCCTTTATATCTTGGCTATCCACTTGTAGTCGCCTCTTTTTAGGCGTGCCTCTCGATCTCTGGCGTGATGATTCGATGTTCATAACCTCTTTTCCTTTTGATTCTCATGATATGTCCCATCAAGCCATCCATGCCAACTTTATCCTAGAATGTCCGAAATGGGTATCATGAGCCCCTAACCCTATCCGAGATGACCTAGCCGTGTGCATCGGCCTTTTCCCCAAGATTATCCGAAATTGGTAAGACTAACCCCTGCAAGGTTTACTGTCCAAACTCAGTCATCTCTCCTTTCAATTAGATACAGTATTCGTAAATAATTAAACACCTGTAGTAAGCATTTTATAATGTGGACCATGATATGCAGTTACAAAGATTAAAATGCCTAACGTGTTCAACGTGTGCAATGAACTAAACTACTTTTTTTATTTTACCAGGTAAGGCCCAATGAGCTATGTAGCTATTCTCAGAAGCAACCTGGCCACAAATGATTTCTGAATGAAGTAGCTTATCACGTGCACCGGAGGACCCTGAGAAAATGTCACGCAACCACGGGGAGAACGTTCAAGGGATATTTCATTTACAAACGCATCTGGATAACTGCCTACATTCTAAAGAGTAATCATTAATTGATTGATTGATATAAATACTTACATAAAAAAAAATCCATCTTCAAAAAGTCCAGTAAACCCATCGTCTCCTCTTCAAAACAAACCAATATTTCACAGACTCTATGCAAAATAGACGTTGAACGACAGAATTAGCTAATTTGAAAGGTGAGATGTATATATACATTTTAAGAGCAGTCGAAATATCTTATGATTATAGTCACATTAAATTAAACCATCTGCGCATTTGGTATTCACATAATTTTTATACTGCAAGGCTATCTTGAAGGCATTGTTTTCGTGGAAAGTTTAAATTAAATAAGTTGTTAATATCCATGGTAATTTTAACAATATGGACCGTAATGTCAGCGCAGATGGTGCCCATGTAATTATTATGGCACTTGCAGTATTACCGGCATAATATCCACAGCACAAATCGTGATAAATACAAGTTCAGCACAAGGCCCATTTTGAAAGTAGTGGCATGAACAACAATTGGCAGGGCTGTATCATTGTTGAATACTGGGCATGGCAATAAAGCTCGCTTGGTTTATTGCCAGAGGGTGAGTTGAGTGCTGCTCTAAGCTTCCGTGACTTGATCGTTTGAGAAAAGGTAAACAATATTGTGGGTAAATGAAAGACAAAAAATAAAGCAATAATAAACTCACCGGCCCGCCCTGTCCCTCTCTTCCCGTGAATCGTAACGAGGGGGACAGGTCGGCTAAATAGACACTAATAACAATAATGAAGTTCGGAGACGATGATGATGTTCTGTCCTCCTAAGACGTGTGCGACTCCACGACCGATGAGCACCAGAGGTTTGTGAATTGGCAACAACAACGCTTTATTTAAAAGTGTTATTTCGAGAAGCGTTTGCGTGCCTGCAATCATGACCAGACACACCACCACCCTTCAGCTCATTCCCTCAGCACGGAATCCACCCCAAATATGAATTGGGGGTGTGCTCCATGGTCTGCTGTGCACGTGAGGCTCGGAGTCCTGTACATGATCACCATGACGTTCACGAATAATAAAAAACGCGCCTGGCTACCCGCAGCCATTACAGCAGCGAAATGTCATACAAACACGGCTCATGAGGTTCCCATACCCTACAACATGCTGCAGATTGCACACTTACAAGTGCAATTCATCACAGGTAAGCCCACACCGGCTCCAATCATATTGCATTATTTAATACACAACACGAAAGACATTGAATACAGTCATTGGTAACGGTTCAGTACATACTGAAAGAGAAACAGTACAGAAGATTACCTGTAAGATCACAGAATATCTAACGTAATATAACAAGGTGTAAATAGTAAAAATATTTATAAATGGGGTAGTAAATAAGCAATTTGACAGCAATTTAACTGTATTTTTACTTACATCTTTTATCAACAGTTGTTAAATAGAAAGTCATACTTTCTAGAGAACACAGTTTACGTTCTTTCACAACAGTTTTCGGCATTAGTTCTGGCTATTCTTTTTCCACAAAAAGAAAATTTGTTTTCGCAGTAAATTAGAATAAACAGACAAAAGAAAAACCGAGACCGTGAACTGTGGTAAATTTATGTCCTTTACTTTTTCTATCAGATATTAGGAAGCCACTGGGAGCTATGCACTTTTAAATCATCTACATTGAAAACTAATTCCTATCTAACTGATTTTTTGTGTTTAGTTTGTTTCCCTTCGCCCGCACCTCCGATTAGCAAGGTTGGATATGTATGGTGCGAAAGAAGATCAACATATATACATTCCATCTGAGAGAAAAAAACCATGAAGAAAAACTAAGAGGTAGAGGCTGGGGGTGTGAGCCATAGAGAGAAAACAATGATGATCATACGGCTGAACATGCTGGATTTGTGCTACCCCCGCGGCAGTGGGTGATTATAAACTGCAGAATCCACCACCGTAAACGGACTCCAAAGTAGGGTGCCATTGCGAAACATCTACTGGAATATCGAAATCAATAGGAAGAATATTCACGAGCATGTGTCCATGGTGAACACTACCATTGGTGGATTCTGCCCAAGGTAGTCACTGCCCGTGGTGAAACATGTCCACCCTGTAAACTATTCATGGCATTTGCCTCTCAAGATGGTTCTGACCGATCCCCATGGCTCAGGGTCTAAGGAAACTGAAGCACTTTAGTATTTGTGTCTGGCACGTGAATGTCCCCGTCCAGGGCAACACAGGGCTACTCACAACGTTACCATCATCCGGGTGGGTTTGTGGGGAGTGTTGATTCATTTTGTAAAGGGAAAGAAAAAAAACATGTCCATTTTACATCGATGCTACTCATGAGCATGTCTCAAATTTTCTTCATTTTTAAGTACCAGTGCACATTACAATGGAAATTCCCCATAAATTGTTTTTTTTTAATAAAAAAAAAACTTCCCCGCCAATTAACAACATCGATTATATAGAGAGAAAGGTAACTGTATTGTTAAACGTCTGCGGCAGATTTACAACATCCCGTAGAACCTGCAATGGAAGCCCTAATCTGTTAATGTGGCAGCTCACGGAGGCATACATTATGCTTGGCTTTCTTTTCTGTGACGTCTTCTTTAACTATAAACAATTATCACTGCTGGCATACAAAGTGCACATTCCTGTGATGTTAAAACTGTGCTTGTTATATTTGGGAGGACCCAACTCCCGATCTCACTGCACTTGATAGAATGTAAAATAAAGCAGGGTATTGATGATCCATCACATACAGATTTCTTGCAGTCACGCATTTACGCCCGAGTCACTTCCTTAGCATTATTTTATAGCAACGCAATGGACGCTGTTCCTGTGTACTTTACATTTTCATGCCTCCACCTATTTTGAGTCATTGGTCTACCAGACTCCGTCATCTCATTTACTGTGTTCAGCCACCATACGTCTATTACACGTGGGAGTGTGCTGTTTGTTGCTGACCGCTCAGTGTATTGGGCCTCTGGGCTTGTACGCAGCGACCGTGATTAAATGTGTTCTATGGGCCAAAGGTTTTAAGGGGCGCCACGATGTCTAGGATATATAGTGAGGGAAAAAAGTATTTGATCCCCTGCTTATTTTGTACGTCTGCCCACTGACAAATAAATGCTCAATCTATAATTTTAATGGTAGGTTAATTCGAACAGTGAGAGAGAATAACAACAAAAAATCTAGAAAAACGCATGTCAAAAATGTTATACATTGATTTGCATTTTAATGAGGGAAATAAGTATTTGACCCCCTCTCAATCAGAAAGATTTCTGGCTCCCAGGTGTATTTTAAACAGGTAACGAGCTGAGATTAGGAGCACACTCTTAAAGGGAGTGCTCCTAATCTCAGCTTGTTACCTGTATAGGACTCGTACTGACGCGACAGCTTCTTTGTCTTTCTTGGTTCTTAATTAACTCGTATGGTTCACATCTCCTCCGTCGTCAACACTCGATATCCCTCCGTACACTTCAACTCACAACTCCCCATCAACATCACTCGATGTCCCTCCGCTCGCTCCGCTGGCTTCGCTCGCTCTCCTTCTGCTCTCTCTCTCTCCACCAGGGTCCGTTACTTCGCTGCTATCCTACGCTGTGCTCGCTCCATCCACTGCTACTCTATCTGTATTCTCTCTGTCCACTGCTACCTTATACTGTATTCTTTTTGTCCACTGCTACCCTATGCTATGCCCTCTCTGTCCACTGCTACCTCATACTATACCCTCTCTATCCGCTGCTCCGTCTCTCCATCTGTTCGTCACTCGTCCCAGGCACCAACTCCCGTTTCGCTCCACGCTCTCCGCCTTTATCCCTGAACCAATTCCCCTTAATTAATTAGATCATCCCCCCGCTTTGCCACTCACCCCCAGCCCCCAGTGTCACGTGGCGTTGTTGGTGTAGACACCGCGGCGCCAATTACAGACACCCATACCTCTCGTCCAATCACAGGCCTGCATCCTCAATTACCCCCGGCCACCTGCAGCCCCCCTTAACTATCCCGCCATCTTAATTAGTACAATAACAACAGTAAGTCGCTCAGCGCCCTGTGTCCCCGTTTGCCCTCACTGTCCGCCACGTGCATGCATCTCAACCCAGGCGTGACGCGTGTTTCTCAAGCCCTATACCTGTATAAAAGACACCTGTTCACAGAAGAAATCAATAAATCAGATTCCAAACTCTCCACCAGGGCCAAGACCAAAGAGCTCTCCAAGGATGTCAGGACAAGATTGTAGACCTACACAAGGCTGGAATGGGCTACAAGACCATCGCCAAGCAGCTTGGTGAGAAGGTGACAACAGTTGGTGCGATTATTCGCAAATGTAAGAAACACAAAAGAACTGTCAATCTCCCTCGGCATGGGGCTCCATGCAAAATCTCACCTCATGGAGTTGCAATGATCATGAGAACGGTGAGGAATCAGCCCAGAACTACACGAGAGGATCTTGTCAATGATCTCAAGGCAGCTGGGACCATAGTCACCAATAAAACAGTTAGTAACACACTACGCCGTGAAGGACTGAAATCCTGCAGCGCCCGCAAGGTCCCCCGTCTGAAGTTTGCCAATGAACATCTGAATGATTCAGAGGACAACTGGGTGAAAGTGTTGTGGTCAGATGAGACCAAAATGGAGCTCTTTGGCATCAACTCAACTCGCCGTGTTTGGAGGAGGAGGAATGCTGCCTATGACCCCAAGAACACCATTCCCACCGTCAAACATGGAGGTGGAAACATTATGCTTTGGGGGTGTTTTTCTGCTAAAGAGACAGGACAACTTCACCGCATCAAAGGGACGATGGATGGGGCCATGTACCATCAAATCTTGGGTGAGAACCTCTTTCCCTCAGCCAAGACATTGAAAATGGGTCGTGGATGGGTATTCCAGCATGACAATGACCCAAAACACACCTTCAAGGCAACAAAGGAGTGGCTTCAAGAAGAAGCACATTAAGGTCCTGGAGTGGCCTAGCCAGTCTCCAGACCTTAATCCCATAGAAAATCTGTGGAGGGAGCTGAAGGTTCGAGTTGCCAAACGTCAGCCTCGTAACCTTAATGACTTGGAGAAGATCTGCAAAGAGGAGTGGGACAAAATCCCTCCTGAGATGTGTGCAAACCTGGTGGTCAACTACAAGAAACGTCTGACCTCTGTGATTGCCAACAAGGGTTTTGCCACCAAGTACTAAGTCATGTTTTGCAGAGGGGTCAATTAATTATTTTCCTCATTAAAATGCAAATCAATTTATAACATTTTTTACATGCGTTTTTCTGGATTTTGTTGTTGTTATTCTGTCTCTCACTGTTCAAATAAACTTACCATTAAAATTATAGACTGATCATTTCTTTGTCAGTGGGAAAACGTACAAAATCAGCCGGGGATCAAATACTTTTTTTCCTCACCTTATTATCTTCCTCGCCTGGTATGCAGGAGGTCAGGAGTTCGATCTCGACCCTGACGCCAGTTGGATAGGAGTTTGTGTGTCTCTTTCCCCATGGTCGCATAGATTTTCCTTCTCCAAGTCCTCAGTTTTTCCCTCCACATTCAGAATCAACATGCATTTCAAATTTTTGGCTGCTGCTATAAATTCCTACGTGATAAGCCACTTAGTTGCGCTATAATTTTTGGCCAGGTCGCTTCTGAAAAAGAAGCTAATAGCTCAGTGGGCTTTACCTGGTAAAATAAAAAAAAATTGACTTGTTTACTTTTCCTATATAGCTCATCGTATTCATCTAGTGTGAATAAATACATATTCATATTTTGGTTTTGTTTAATCAACACAAAGCACTGTGCTGGCTCTCCGAGTGGTGTTAGCACGATGGGATTTCTGCCAACTGCTGCGAATCCAAATTACAGCTGGGTTGAGTAAAATGCACATTACCTTGCTTCCACTGTGAGGGCTGAGGTCCACTGCAAATACAATACAATAAACTTGGTTAATTATCGACATTAAAACTCATAATAACATCGAGTCACGCTTTGTTCTGGTCAAACCGGTCTGCACAATAAACGAGTATATAAAAGTCCACATTCCCACCGTCATGTGTGTTGAACATATTTCTCACCGTATGTAGTCAACTGTGCTAATCGGAGGTACAGGGGAAGGACAAACAACTAAACACAAAAAGCAGTTCGAAATAAATTATGTTTGAATTTAAATGATAATTTAAAAGTGCATAGCTCCAATGGCTTCTTAATATCGGAAGGAAGAACGCTGTAGACGGTCGTGGAAGCCCATCTGAAAGCGCGCAATGCAATGACTGTCTTTGTTCGATGGCGAGGCAAAGGCGGCTGCTGCAAGGATGACCGGAGTTCATTGAAGTTTTGAAGGAGACACCCAGACAAATAGATTGAAAACAAGGTTCTTTTCGGGACTTATGGTGTTGATTGAGTGTCCCTGGCAAAGCAATGATGAATGATATACCCCACATCCACATGAAGAAAAATATGTTACATCACCTTAAAGCGAGATCTCACATTCTCTGAAAACTCAAGGCTCAAGTTCCCTTCCTATCGTTTGATCCAATTAAGAACATTAAACTCTTGAGCGATGACTGGGGAAGGAAAGTTTAGGTGGTTCATCGCTTATCACACTGCCTTCTGAACTAAGCAATCATAGTTCGATTGCCACTCATGGCCCACATCGGTCGCGAATATATATTGAATTGTCCTGGACCTCCCCGAAGCCGACTCCGTCTTAACATTTGTAGCTCATGCAGTGTGTAAATCTCAGCACTGGGGAGACAAAGGCAGAAAAGTCTGATTCTGGAAACACCACTCTGTTGTGCACCATGGCGAGCTGCACAAGTACTTGCTATCAGCACACCCCGAAGTGGCCCGTGCAGGCTACATGGCATCCTTCTCCTTTATGAAACCACAAAACGACTGTGCTACTCACATTGTCTTCTACTCTCGCTCTCCGCAATTCTGCTGGTGGTGAAGCTGGCTCCGTGTGTCTTTCTCTACCAGTGGTTGTTATATAGTAGGTGGTGGAGGTGTGGGAGCTTTAATTTACTGTGCAATGTAACTAAAAATGACAGGTATGTGAATTTGCGGAATCTGGATTTTCAAGGCCAGCAAACTGTGTGCTGGGGGACAAACGTGGTACCATAATTATACATTTGTCAAAAAAAACTTTACGTGGGGTTTTCCCACACACAAAAACTACTGTTCACATTGTTTAACTGTACGTGGAAGGGTTCCTAAACCTTGCACAAACAAAACGTTGGGAAAATGTCACTGCAAAATAATATCGCGAGGTGGCATCGGAAAAGCTCCACCCCACGTTGGCAACCGGAAACAGAACAACTCTTTCAAGAAATCCACAGCAGGAAAATGTTTTTGCTGTGGATTTCACACCTGATGATGATTGCTTGTGTTGCAGTCGAAACGTCGTGAGCTTTCTTTTATATTACTTTATTATTTCCCTTCTACGTAACTTTACTGAAAGAACCAAGAATATGAATCTCTGCAGTCAAGAAAGCTTTAAATCAAAATGTAACTCTTTCAAGAGTTCATCAGAACCAGTGGCCAAGAAAAGGGCCCTACACTTTACAGGAAGGAAACGTTGGGAAGACTGCACTGTAGACTTGGACATCACTCACTGCAGCCGTAAAGACGTGCAGCTTCTCCGCATACCTATAGCTGCATCTAAAACAACAGAGCACAGACCGCCCAAAAAAACTACAGTGCAAGCTGTGGTTCCCCATACGTGGTCATGCTCTAAAGGCAGAAATCGACCAGCTTACTAAACAAGCTGACCGTAAACAACTACTACAAGTGACAAATCTAACAAGACCACACAATGTATCTGATATAGAAGTGGTCTGTTAGTGCCACAAAATATAACAAGATTACTATGTTTTTTCTCATTCCTTCTTACCTGATGATGGCTGCTTGTGTTGCAACCGAAACGTCGTATTCTATTATTATTTGATTTGATTTTCTACTTGACTTTACCAAAAGAACCAAAGAGTAATTCCTGCAGTCACAAAAGCTTCGAACCTGATCTAAAAAGATTCTAGAATATAGTGACCTATGTCTTGAATTCCTAAGGAACCTAGGACTATATGAACAACAATGATTTGTAACCCTCTTCACCTTCATACCCAGGACAGGCCAAATCCCAAAAGTGTGGAAGGAAGCGAAAGTCATCGTCATTTTGAAACCCAGATACAAACAAGATGTATGCTTCAACTATATGCAAACATCCTTTTGATCTCCACCGCCAAGCTTAATGGAATGAGCCATGATTGGCAGACTGTCCCCCATTATTGATCCCTGACTATGTATTAAAGAATACGGATGTCGAACTGGCCATAGCTGCTGAAATCTGATTGTTTGCTTTACCACCCTCATAGAAGCTGATTTACAGTATTGACAGAGCATGGATTGGCCTATTTGCTGCCTTTGACACCATTTGGCATCGAGGTATTCTGCTGAAGATGACCAATATCATAAGATACCACATCGCAGGTGCACAGACACACCTCATTTAAGAACCCTAATATCGAACCTCTTGACTTTGACATTCCCCGAAGGCACTGGTTGAACCATCAATCGCATCAGAACATCAACAGGCTGATGTGCTGTTGTATATGTCGGGTTATGAAATTTTGATGATTTTTTAAATGAAAATAAAAAAAATTGCGTAAATCGTGGAAATTTTTGCGATTATGTTGATGTGGGCAGTTATGATAATTAGTCTTAGCTTCGTTATCCAGAGTTGTATCAATCAGGATAAAACGATTATCTTTGATTAAACATTTATTGATTATCTTAGTGTGTTTATGTTATGTTAGGTCTCCAAATTCATATCTCAACGCAGGATACAGTTCTTATAATTAAGATAGTTATGCATGGACTTGGAAAGAAACACTCAACACTTCTGTGTTATGCAATTTTAATTCTAAACAAAAATATGACACTCTAATATGCGAACTCTCTTGCTCGGAATTATCCACGGTACCATCGGGGAGATTTCTCTCAGTGAGCAGCACATTTAACCATCAATGATTGCTGGTTTCACTTTGGCAACCGCACATCATTAATTCCACCACGTAACGAGCATATCCGGCGATAGGTAGAGTCTTTAAAACAGACATGCAACGATATTCATATGAAGGGCAATAAACAAATTATTATATCCCGAGGACCAAAGTATACGTCAATAGATTCATCGGCAAGATTATGCAATTAACGAAAATGAATGACTAAAACACTTCTAACAACCGTATTCATGTAACTCGACAGGCAGCAACTGCTTTTCACGACCAGTTGATATTGTACGCATCACCTTGAAATGGAAACTCTTTTCGAAACACAAAGATAACTTTTTGTGCGTGTTGTGTGTGTTGTCCCCTTGGTAAATGAATTAATTATTTTTTTAGAGCCGGGAGTTGCGTTGTGAGCTTGCGGGGGGTGGGGGAGGGGCATACAAACAGCGGCTTCACTATCTGCTCGCTCGCGCGGGCGTGCCTGCAGCCTGTGGCTCACTCTCTCCACTGCTAGATGAGTGGCGTCGGCACGATGCTGTCCTTGAAGAGGCTTGGTCGCTCGAGGCTCGGTGGGGCTTGGCGGCGCTTGGCGGCTCGTGCGCTCCCTTGCTCTGTGGCCGTTTGCAGCTGTTTGTCCGCAGCTGGGTGACCGAGCCGGCACGACGCTCGCCGTCGTGGTGCGCGATGATTCCGTCGTCAGCGCGCGCAGCTCCTCCGCTGCTGGATGTCTTGTCTGTTCTCAGCGGGTGCTGGTCGATGTGTGTGTGTATTAAACACACGGCGCATTCGATGGCGCTCTCCTCTTCCTCACGGGCGGCTGGTCAGGCTTTTTCCACTGCTCCATTCCCTCTCCTTGCTTTCACCTTTGGCGTCCAGCTGACAGCTTCACACGGGCACCCGCTGATGCCTCTCCCGCCCTTACTTCAGGGTTGCGCTGGTTCAGGTTCTTTCACGAGAGTAATAGCTGGAATTTCGCAAGCTTCACTCGCACTTAACCACACCTCGCCACCTCGTTCCGCGAGAATCGACACCGACTTGCGGTGTCGGTGTTTGCTCCCTCGCGACGGCACTGCCAGCCAGAGAAAGGCTGAAACCAGCCTCGACTCAGACTGAACTCAGACTTCTGCCACTCTAACAACCCCTCCTCGTCCCATCTCTCCTCGAGGCACGACCCATGGTTGGTGTCGGTGCCTGCCGGCAAGCCTCCGCCCCAACTCCCTTGCGAGCCTCCCTCGCAACGCTGCGTCGCAAGCCGAGTCACAAGACTGAGCAAGACTCGAACCAGACAGAACTGCGTGATGTGCGTTTGTGCTTAAAACCCAAAAACGTGAAACCCTCCCGTCTCTGGCATCTCCTGCGAGAGAAAGACAAACAAAAAAACAGACACCCTCCCGATCCCTCCTCGCGACCGCTCTGACCCCCCACTCCCTCTGAGTGGGCCGGACCCCTCCATACAGATTTATGGGCGGCCTGTTTTCGTGCTGAACTGCTGAAAGACAAAGGTGGCCAGGGAGGTCCTGAGGTTTGCTGTTTAATGGCATTTTACGACCTCCAGATGCCTGGTGTGGCCTGTGAGGGGTGGAGTTGAGCATTTTGGGAATATGTTATATATATTATTATTAATATTATTGGCCGAATTATTCTTAATATGAATTTGGAAAAAGGGGCATAAATACAACAGTGCACATCTCCTTCATTAATGCAAGATAAAAGACAATAAATTAAACCCAAACCATACAATACATTCAACCCAAAGTATTGCTCTCCCTCCTTCAACGGAGGGAGAGCAATACTACACCAACTCTCTCCTAAAGCCCTCTTATGGCTAGCACCCTCAAAATTGCCATTTAGCTCCTGATCGTATTGCCATATGAAAAAATAGTGGGGGAAACTTTCAGGTATGCTGCGATCTCTTGGAATTGATCAACACATAGACAAAAAAATAAACAAACACACAAACATCAACGTAATACAATTAGACACATACATTGAATAAAACTATTAACACTGACACATGGAGAGTGAAAAAAACCCATTAACCGACGAAATTTTAATTTAAAGCTTTCCTGACTGCAGGGATTCATATTATTGGTTCTTTCGGTAAAGTCACGTAGAAGGGAAATAATAAATTAATAAAAATATTAAACAATACAAATTATCACGGCGTTTCAACTGCGACACAAGCAATCATCATCAGGTGTGAAATCCACAGCAAGAAAATTTGAAAAAAGTGGCGGTTTTTCCTAACGTCAGCACCACGAACAGCGATTTGGCAGTTGGCCAGATGGACGAGTCCATCTATGTTCGGAAAAGAGGAGGGGGGAGAAGAAAATGGAATGCGGTCTGAAAGTCACCGTAAGCGTGAACACAATCAATTAAGATCCGAAATGGTTTATCAAATCCTTCCAACGATTGCTAAGCTATAATCCATCTTCTCGGTACTGAAGTAGCTACGGATGTTTTTAACCCCATATACAATAACTATATATATTGGTTTTGCTTCACCGTCTATTTTGTTGAGAGGAAGACAGTCTCACAGTGACAATATTAATAAAAATGCATATTTAAAAGTACAATACTCACACTTAAGTTATCGTGTGTCTTGCTTTCATTCCGGCCACATCGGTCCAGGATTTCCTCAAACGGGGTGGATCGTGCAACTCGATGCTGCTCTATTGATATGATAGCCAGATGCCTTAATCGGGCTTGGTCCATGGTAAGACCGCAAGTCATTTTGAATAAAAAATACTTCCATAAGTGTTCTTTTTGGGTTAGATCGCGTTGATATGTCGTGAAACGCGCCACCACCAGACACAGACAATTAGTAAGGTTTGACACAAACAAAACATGCCAATTCGTAACTAGTTTTAGTGGGTGAAATAGTTTTAGTGGGTGATCTAAATTGGAATTGGCTAAACCTGCCGGCCGTGGCCACAAATTTTGCAGATGAATTTAACCTATTTACATTAATAAATGTCCACCACAAGACACAACGTCTTATTGACAAATTGCCCTCACAATTTCGCACTGACTGGTGTTCTGGGTAATAACCTTAGTGATCACGCCTTCATATTTGGGGTGAGATCATCAGCCAGACCAAAAGCCCCCCCCCCCTAAATTGGCTGAGAAGCACTCCATGAGACACTTCAGCACTTAATGCATTTACTAATGATGTGCTTCACTCGGATATTGACAAGGTCTGTGATATCCCCAACCTGACTACGGCTTGGGAGACCTTCAGGTACACGTTTCTCCAAATTCTTAACAAACATGCTGCGTTGGTTAGATTTAAAACTAAAGGCAACCGCCCACCATGGTTTGATTCTTTGATTACTAAGCTCATGAAAACTAGGGGCAAGGCATGGGCATGTGCTCAGAAAAGTTATTTGGTCAATGGCTGGCTAGAATACAGGATTTTAAGGAATAGATAAGTAAAATAAATGCAGCATGCAAAAAATGCCTACTTTTCCTCATCTCTCCTGGAATCACATGGAAATGCCAGGATCTTCTGGAAAACAATCAAATGATTCGAAAAGGCATCCAAAACAGATAATCTGCTCGTTGAGCTTAACCAAAATGGGGAATATTTTTCAGAGCCCAAAAAAATAGTTGACAATTTTAACCTTCATTTTTCTGAAGCTGGTAACCTTTTTGATGTGTTGGTAGTCACCCCTGCTCATGCAAATTCCTACACCCCTGTCCAAACATTAAAATAATTTAGTTTCCAGCCAATCCACGAATGTAATGTTCTGAAACAACTGTCCTACCTCAAAGGGTCCTCCTCTACCGGAGCAGATAGTGTTCCCGTCTTTGCTCTCCTATCTGTTGGCCACCTAATATACAAACCTATAGCCCATATTTTCAACCTGTCCATCAAAGAAGCATCAGTACATCTAGAATGGAAAAAATTCCTACGTTCGTCCACTTCACAAAGGGGGCCCTAAAGATGATCCAAATAACTACCAACCTATCTCAATTCGGTCCGCGTTGATGAAATTTTTAAAAAAATGATTGAACTACCAAATTAGCAGTTTCCTGTCCGACAACAATCTATTACATCTAAAACAATCTAGGATCCGAAAAAAATACAGCACAACATCTGCTGCATTAGACTCTCTGAATCACATTTACAGTAGCCTTAATAATAAGCAGTACTGTGCCTGTCTTTTTCTTGACTTGTTCAAAGACTTTGATACAGTCGACCACAACATCCTGCTTAGTAAACTAAGTTGCCTCGGTTTCTCAAAACACGCAGTAGAATGGTTAAAAAATTACCTCTTTTCTCGCACCCAAACTGCATTTACAGATGGTTGGAGGCCAAACAGTGTTAAGATAACAAAAGGGGTTCCACAGGGTTCAATCCTCGACCCCCTCTTGTTCTCTCTTTATGTCAATGACTTGGGCACTGACCGGGATCATTCCAGGGCAAATCTTTTTACAGATGACACGATACTGATTACTGCTGGCCGCTCTCCAGATGACGTGATTGATAAGCTCCAGAGTGATTTCAACAAACTACAACATCAACTAGTTGCTCTTAAACTAGTCCTGAAATACCTCCAAAGCCAATGTGCCAGGACTAAAGCAGGAAGTATTTTTTACTAAATTACATTCCTTAAATAATAATCAAATAGAGCAAGTCAAGATCTTACGTATCTTGGGGTCATCCTGGATTCAAAACTGAATTTTGAAGATCACATTGATTATATTGGTAAAAATACAAAAATAAAAATTGGTTTTCTGTATCGACACAAGCACTGCTCGCAGACTACCTACTGGATCTCCTCTCTGTTTCGAAGAACAAATGTGACCTAAGGTCTTTGCTCATTTACCAGCTTCACATTCCTTATTGCCGTACAAATAACAGTAGGAAGGGCCTTTGCTATTGATGCCCCCAGGGTCTGGAATGCTATTGCCAATAAACTGCAACTTGAATCACTACCTATGAGATCTCCACTCAAAACTGCTCTAGAGGATTTGTACACCCCTAGCTGCCACTGCTAATCAGTGGCCTAAAATCAAATGTTTTGCTCTGGATGACCGCTGCAAAGTATGATCTTGTGTTTTGATTTAGTGTGCTGATCTTTAAAGGTGCATTGAATTTTTTTCATACTCCCACTGATGCTCCTGCTGTTGTGGAGTGACTCATACAGTCAGCTATGGCTACAGGGTTTGGTGGTACATGTTGTTTATGTCGTTAAATGTGAAATTTCGGTCACAGTTCCTATGATCACTGTTACATTGTTTTATGGCTTTATTTTGGTGATTTCGAAAAGTGTTTTGGTTTGGCCATGTTTGTCTGTTGTAGTATGGAGTTAGACTAATGACTTTAATCTAAGTTGTCTTGTGGTTGTTGTTGTTTGACTTGTATCCTACTGGGATTTTGCACACAGCGTTGGTGTATGTTGCTTTTTCTGGAAGACTTTGCTGTTTTTTCCTGGATTATTCTGTTTGCGCATAGTCACTTTAATATGTTTTTTGTTCATGTTTTTTTGTTTCTTGCAGTTGCACCCGATTCAAGAGCCGAATGGCTCACAGGGCTATACCAAATAAATGAAACTGAAACTAGTTCAGCACATATTCTTGGTTCATTCGGTAAAGTCACGTAAATAAAAAAACAAAAAAATAAGAGTAAATATTTTTTTTAATAAAACAACAAAAATATAATATGATAAAAAAGCAAAAAAAAACCACGATAAAAATATAAATATTACAATAAAATTTCAGTAAAAAAATAAAAATAAATTGAAAATAATAAAGGCAAAAACCCACGACGTTTTGATCGCAACACAAGCGGTCTTCATCAGGCGGAGAGAAAAGAGGGGGCAAGGCTCTAAATGTAGCTGCTTATAAAGGTTCCAAAGTGAGTGGGTGGAGGAAAGAGCTGTGCAAGCAACACGCTAATGGAGCAACACAAAGGGGGAGTTGGGTGAAGGTGAGCTTGTGCAGCGCAAACAAGCATGGGCGGGGGGCAGCCAGTCAGCCAGCGTTAATACTGGTGGGAACCTCCTGGTTACACCAGCCCACAGGGGATTATTCTGTCCGTCCGTCGTGCATCCAAAAATGGGAGGGGTGGGGCTGGGTGGAGAGGGGAGGGTAGGGAGGGGCTGGGTGGGGAGGGTGGGGGCTGGGTGGGGAGGGTGGGGCTGGGTGGGGAGGGGCTGGGTGGGGAGGGTGGGGAGGGGCTGGGTGGGGAGGGTGGGGCTGGAGTGGGAGGGGTGGGGCTGGGTGGGGAGGGGCTGGTCACCCCGTGGTGCCCTTATAAAACTCAACGTTTAACCTACTCACGCCGGCTTGTGCCCGTCCTCACAGTTGGGCATATTTGCGTAATACACCACGCCGCCGTTAACCCTGGCCATTGACCGAGCAACCCAATGTTCCTACTAGCTCCCTCCGCAGGAATGTGTTGGAAGAGCAATGGGGGGAAGGGGCAGATACAGGGGGAGAGAGAGGGGGTGGGGCAGAGATAGTGGGGGGGAGATGGGGGGGCATTGCACCTCGCTACACCCATCCACACTGCTGACGGTAGAGGTTGACAAGAAAACACAAATCAAGTCATGACCCAAAGTGGTTGATAACATCTTTCCAATGATTGCTGAGTTTAAAACCGTCGTCTCAGTTGAAATTGTCTGCATATTAGGGATGGCTTCGTGAACGAATCTTTGTTGTTAGCCAGTCGGCTTGCAACGTACCATTGTCTTAGAGATATCTATTTCATGTGAGCCAGCCGCATTAAAGTAATGATCAGAAACGGCAGAAGTATTGGTCCTGCCGTGTTTCAGATCTTCCTTATGTAGAGGTGTAGTGGGTGACATCACGTCACGCGCACCCTCGGAGAGAGTGGCGTCGCGGGACGTGACGTCAGGCGGGCAGTGGAGGACGGTGACGTCATGCACCCAGGGGGGTATTTAAAGGGGGACCCGGGATGTAACCGGGGTTCGTCGGGGGTAGGGGTGGGGACTCGCGTAGTTGGTCCTCACACGAAGCTAGGGGAGGCTACTCTGCGCGACCGGCCGAGGTTGGGGGTGATCCCGGGCCGGGGCAGGGTGGAGAGCCGAGTTAGCCGGGGTGTAGGGATCCCAGTACCATGTCGACTGGGGAATTATTGGTTAGGGGGGTGTTGGTTCGGCGTAAACCCTTAACCTGGCGTAAGCCCTTAACAACCTGGTGTAAGCCCTTAACAACCTGGCGTAAGCCCTTAAATAAACGTGGCGTGAGCCCCTAACAGCAACCTGCCTCGGAGTCGTGAATTGCACCATAAACAACACTTATGTTCACGAACACGGTCCAAGACATGTCGTTTGGTTTCCCCAATGTAACTGCTGCTGCAGATACAGCTTAGTTTGTCGACGCCCGGATATCACATGTCAGGAATCTTGTCCTTCACAGATGGGATTAGGGCACGAATTGTGTGCAGTGTTAAATCGGACCTGGATCTTGTGTTTGTTCAAGATAGTTCAGCACACCGGTGTGTTGGAAACCTACGTGTTATTATTTTTTTACTTGTTTACTTGATTCGGAGGCCCTCCCTTGTGGCCGACTGGGCTCCTCTATACGTTACAAAACGCCGCATACACCTACCCCATAGTTGTTCCCCTGCACGGAGGTGCAAGTGTCTCCACTGCACCGCCTAACCTGCAGCCCAACTTGCAATCTAGTAGCCCGGTTCGATTGCATCTCGTTGCGTTGCGGTGGAAACAATGGGCCAAGTTTATTAAATCCCACCCCCCACTCCCTCTATTAGTACCTGTCAAACGGGCAATATAATTGGGTACACCAGTCAATTGCCAGGACGAGTGTGCTGCGGTAAAAAGTGTGTGTACTCACACCTCTTCCAGGTTGGGGACGTGCTGCCATCCACTGTGTGGACCAGAGGTCACTTGAAGGGATCTCAGAGGTAGCTCTGTGATATGCGATTGTGGGGCAAGCATTATGTAACACAAAGTCGCACTTAATGTAGCTGATAGCACAATGAGGACAACATTAATATGGCAGGAAATATATCCTTTAATTATAGCAGTAATATAGAGAATAAAAAAGACAAAGACTCCCGTATAGCCTAAACAGAGCACCTATGAAGGCCGGCACGTCACACAAGTGCGTGGGTGACCAGCACCACGCCCGGCCGCCTTTGTCTCCCCAGTGGCGATGTTTACATACTGCACCAGTACTCATTTGAGGCTGAATCGACTAAGGGAGGCCTAGGACCAGTTAAAATAAGTCACTGGTGTTGGCCGTGAGCGGAAATCAAATTCGGGTGGCCGGGTTTATAGCGCAGCGCACTAACTGCTCCACTACCGCTCCCCACAATATAGACAAAGTTCACTCACACACATGGAAAGTATGTTTTAATTACGTAATTTCGTAAATGACTTCAGTGAATAGCCCATCATTTACCAAGCATGGTACAATGGTTATGGAGATGTTTGTGTCCATTAGTGGCGAATGGCGGCTGTTATTGTGTTTGTGTCTGCATATCTGTTCGATTCCTGATCACTGCAAACACCAGTTACGATTATCTAAACGAGCCCTGAGCATGCCCTGGTTCAACTCGGCCTCAAATGTGTAACTGTTACGATTTGTAAACATCTTCACTGAGGAGACAAAGGTGACCGAGCATGGTGCTGGCCACCCACCCCGATTGTGCCGTTCCAGCCTTCATAAATGCTGAAGAGGTTTTGTGGGTTAAATCACGTAAATATATAAATGTGTCGTTAAAACCCGCCACCACCCGAAACAGCAAACTAGTAAGGTTTGTCACGTAAATAGAACGTGCCAATTCGTCAAGAGTACAGCACACCAGTGTGTTGGAGAGCCAGGCCATAAAATGTACAATCTGAGTACGACGTTTTTTTATGTGTACGCGATCTAACCCAAAAACCTATATTATGGATGAAAGTGGTCGCGAAAGCCTACTTCATAAATGCTACTCGCTAGCAGTACTTGCCCAACCCGTCTGCTAAATCTAGATTTAAACTCGATAATTTAGCACCCCTTTTTGTGTTTAGTTTATTGTTCGTCCCCCCACACATCCGATTATCACGGTTGACTATGTATGGTGCGAAATAAGTTCAACATACATACAAAGGCTATACAGAGGAATCTGTCTTTGTTCGGCTGTCTCTGCGCATATCTGTGTTTGTGCCTCTGAGACTTCCCCCCCCCATCTAGAAGTGTCCGCTGTCACGGAGATACTGGGCCCTGGCGACCACGTCGTTGGCGTAGTCGTCGCCCGTCGTGCCGATGTCCATGTTGGCATACGACCCCACGTTCCGCGTGCCAGCGTTATATGCCGAGATACCTCCTGTACATACATGTGGATTACATACATGTGGATTACATACATGTGGATTACATACATTTTATACATTGTATACACACATATATACATTGCATATGTAAAAATACATTGCATGTGTTAATGTGCACAGAGTGATATCCGTGTTGACATGTCTTATGCCAAGATGTCTTCTGTATTACACATACATATGCACATAAAATATACATTGTATACACATTAAAGTAAACATATTTTATATATATACTAGCTTTACTACCCGGCTTCGCCCGGGTATTGGATTCTTATCTTGGATTAATTTCATATTCCCTTATATTTCACTAAAAAACCCTGAAAAAAATTTGATGCTTGAAAGAAAGAAAAAATCCGAAAAAAAATCAGTGTAACTAAATCTGATGTTTTTCACACAAGGAAATTCAACCTTAACCCACTTATACGTAAGGTCGATTTTGGCAACTGGAAGGGAATGACGTGCGAGCTGAAAATAGTCACGTTCACTTAAAAATTCCAGACAGCATAAGCTGTGCAAATTTCATGACGTCAGAGCTCAGCGTTTGAGAGTTTTTGCTGCTTCACACAAACAGATGTATTTTATGCTTTATATTTAAGATTCAAGTTTCATTTATTAGGTACTAGCGGTAAGTACCCCCCGATGCCCAGGCAAAAAAGACAGACACACACATCGACCTACACAACAGCAACCGCCATTCGCCACTAAGCGGCGGTGACGTCACCACGACGCTTGTGCCAGGCCATGTGCACCTTGAGGCCACGTGAAGTGACGAACGCCCGCTGGCAGGTCACGGGGCAGACCCAGGTGCAATGGGTCGACTGACTGAGATGACTGGCTGATGCACCACCTGTGCCCCTTACTGTGCTAACTTGCTGTGCTTTAGCCACCCGGCGCTCCGCTCGTTGTTGTGAGCGTCGCTCCTCCACCCTCCGTTGTTGCTGGAGGGCGACTGCCTCCAACTGCCCAGTAGCGTCCTTCACGAGCCTCCTGCACAGAGGCCGATCTTGACACCGCTGGTATCAGTCATCGGCAAGTCCACTCAGCTCCACGTCCTCCTGTACCACATCACTCCATCTCTTTTCTAGCCCATGCCGCGCCCGTTTAGCCCCCTCGATCCGGCCGAACAAAATCTGTTTAGGCATGCGGTGGCTGGGCATGCAGGTTACATGACCCAGCCAACGCAGCCTTGCCTGCCGGAAGAGCTCACCGATGGGACTTTGCCCAGATCTTTCAAGGATTTGTGAGCTCCTCACACAATCCAGCCTGGTTAAACCCAGGATGGATCGTAGGCAGGCCAGCCTAAATGTTTCCAACCGGCGAAGATGCTCCATTAGGGGGGTCCACGTTTCGCAAGCGTAGAGAAGGGAGGGAATGACCGTGGCCGAGAAGACCTGAAGCTTCGTGCGGAGCGACAGACCAGGTAGCTTCCACACAGCATTACGCAACCGATGAAAAAACAATGCCGCTCGACTGATTCTGAGTGAGACCTCTGCTGTTAAACCGGAGCCGGTGATAAGCACACTGCCCAGGTATGGCAAACTCTCCACAAGCGGCCCATCACCAATTGGGAGTTGTGGGGGTGGAGTGTCCGATGGTACAAAATACCCAGGCCGGTGCTTAGTTTTGGTGGGGCTGATGGCAAGGCCCCAACTCTTAATGGCAAACTCCAAGTTGAGCAGCAGCACCTCCAACTCGTCCTCTGAGTGAACAGCAATTACCAGAAAATGGGCATACATAACATGGTTGCGTAATAGGGATCCATCCCTTGACCGCACCCGGGCATCGATCAGCCTCCCATTGTATCTGTAGCAGATTGAAGGCTTAACGAAGTACGTGGTAAAAATAGATGTGAAATAATGTGAGAGCCAGAAGACATCCCTGTCGCACGCGAAGGTGTAGAGGGAATGGCTGCGACTCGCGGCCATGTAGTTTTACCCGGGCGGCAAAGAATATGAAATAATGCAGTCACGAAAGGTGTAAGTGAAGATAAGTAATGTAAGAATAGGAAGGTGAAATGTAAAAATATAGGTGTATTTGAACGTGAGTTGACACAATAATAAAGATGAAAGCAATGGGCAAGTTATGAGCCAAAAAAAATAGGTGTACGATTTGTATGGTGTGTATGGCATAGTGAGAAATGCAAAATTGTAAAAATGTTTGTAGCTACGTGACGTAACAGAAAGAGGCAAATAATCTGAAATCCTGTAGTCATGAAAGCTGTAAGTGAAGAGAAGGAAAGTAATAATAGGAAGGTGTTTTTTTTTAAACGTATGTGTATTAGAACGTGAGTTCACACAAGAATAAAGATGATATTTGAACGTGAGTGCACACAAGAATGAAGATGAAAGTAAAGGGCAAGTAATAAAGGAATTTTTTATCGATTTGTATGGTGTATGGCATTGTGACAAATGCAAAAAATGTTTAAATGTTTGTAGCTACGTGATGTCACAGAAAAATTCAAAGAATATGAAACCCTACAGGGACGAAAGCTGTAAGTGAAGAGAAGTAATGTAATAACAGGAAGATGATATTTGTAATAAGTATAACCCGTAAAAACAAAGTTTTTCACTCTAAATCCTTTATATGCGTGGCGGCTAGAGTCCTCTCATTCTCTGGCTTGAGATGGCTGCCACCTATGGGTCAGATGATTGTCTGCAGTATTAAACAATTGGTAATTAAATATTTAATTTGTTTTCCCTAAACAGTGTAAAATTTTGGAAAAAAATTTTCACGAACATTAATTGTCTCGCACAACGAGTCTGTGTGCAAAATGTCAGCTCGATTGGATCACGGGAAGTGGGTTTAAAAACGACCGAAAGGTTTGCACGGTCGTAAGCAAGCAAGCACGCAAGCACGCAAACACGCAAGCAAGCAAGCGAACTTAATATAAAGGATTTAAAACTGGGTGTATTAGAACGTGAGTTAACACAATAATAAAGATGATATTTGAACGTGAGTTTACACAAAATAATGATGATGTAAGTAATGGGCAAGTAATGAACAGAAAATATTTGTTGAGAGATTTCTATGGTGTGTATGGCATAGTGACAAAGGCAAAATGTATTGAAATGTTTGTAGCTACGTGACTTAACCGAAACAGGCAAAAAAAAAAATCTGAATTCCTGCAGTCACGAAAGTTGTAAGTGAAGATAAGTAATGTAATAATAGTAAGGTGATATTTGCATTGAGAGGTGTATTTGAATGTGATTTGACAGAATAAAAAAGATGAAATGGGCAAGTTATGAACAAAATATATGTTGTGAGCACAGAAACAAAATAATATATTTCCAAGGTGATGAATAAAACAACAGTTTTGTATGTACGTGATTGTAGCGTAAGAAGCAAGGAAATTTGTACTTACCATAGGCTTGGTGAGGCCTAGTCCCATGTGGAGCCCCCGTCCTGGCCTACATTGCCAAGGCATGGTGAGGCAGCACTTTGGCAGGCTGGGCCGCTACCCCCACACCCATCCCCCCGTCCGTGCAAGAAAAATGGTATCTAAGAACTTAAATATAATTATCTACGGACTCTGTAGTATAAACTGGACGTGTCGTGTTGGGGGGGGGGGGGGCGAAGAGGACAATCAGACTGTGAAGAAAAATCCGCAGCGTGATGTGTGTATTTATTGCATGTTGAACGTGTAAAATAAAATTTGCCCCGTGAGCTGGACCGAACACACATCACTTGGCAGGGTCCGCCCCCCCCCCCCCCCCCAGGCAATTGTCGTTAGTTGGTATGATCGATGTCGCGCAATAAGTAAATAATTAAAATAAGAATGCCACAAATTTGTTCATTAAACCACTTTAAAGTTTAGGGATGAGAAAATGGAATAACCTATTCCCGCCACGGGGCTTAGGGCGTGCTGCCTGGCAATTTTTTTTATCCCACCGTCCGAGAGCCAAATCCCTCGCAAGCGGGCGCGCGCAGAGACTTTTATATGTAAGAGAAGAATACAGAGCTTCCCTTTAACATTTAACTAGGGCAAATCCGGTTAGCCAGTACTACGCCGAGCTACCTGTCTCCCAATCGTGATGTTTACAGACCACATCACGGACTATGTTAAGGCTGAGTCGACCTAGGGGAGGTCCAGGACCGGTTCAAATATTATTTACAAATGTGCGTTGTGAGCGGGCATCGATCTCAGGGTTCTTAGCAACAATGTGCTAACCGTTGTGCTACCGCTCCCCATAATTATACATTATTGCCACCACTCCACATTATATACATGCATACGTATGTATATATCTATATTTGAAGTTTTCGTGACTGCAAGGATCCATACTCTTGGTTCTTTCGATAAAGTCACGTAGGTAAAGACAATTAAAAAGTAAAAGATAAAAATAAATAAATTAAATCACGACGTTTCGATTGCAACACAAGCAATCATCATCAGGTGTGACAACCACAGCAATACATTTTACTGAAGTGGGAGAGAAGCCAAAGTCAAGGGGTTTATACTGGGCATGGTGAGGGGGGGGGGGGGAAGTGGGCGGGGCTATAGGTGCGCGAGGAGGCCACGTGAAGTGTCGAACGCCCGCTGGCAGGAGGTCACGGGACAGACTCAGATGCCACAGGTCGACTGACTGAGACGACTGGCTGATGCAGCACCTGTGCCCCCTACTGTGCCAACTTTCTGTGCTTTAGCCACCCGGCGCTCCGCTCGTTGTTGTGAGCGTCGCATGGAGTGTCTGATGGTACATAAGACTCACACACACATTGACATACACAACACACATATGGACTTATAAAGACACGCATATCGACTAAGACAGGGACTTACACACACATGGACCCACACACACATCGACTTACAGACATACATAGACTGCCACACACATATGAACTTACACACACATATCGACGCACACACACACATGGACTCTCCCACACATTCACACATTGCCGTACACACATCGACTGACACACAAAGACTCCCACACAAACATACATGTACTCACACACAACAACAACCGCCGTTCGCCACTAAGTGGCGGTAACGTCACCACGACGCTTGTGCCAGGCCACTCACACACGCACATAGAGCCACACACACATGGACTGACACACACACATGGACTTATGTACACAGACACACATGGACTCACACGCACACGTGGACCAAAACACACAGAAAGAAATGGACTTACACTGACTCACATGGAGCGACGCACACACAGCGACTAGCACACACACACACAGACTGACACAGACATATCGACTCGCACACAAACACATCGACTCTGACACACAGACTCACACACACACACATTGGCGCACACAAACACACATCGCCGCAGACATGAACATCGACCTACACGCACACATGGACTTAGACGCAGGCATTATTATTGTGAAAAAAAGTAACTTAATTAAAAAGAGTAGTTGTCTAAACACGCACACCACCGCACACACATTGACTAACACCCACACATGGACTTACGCACACACACATTGACGGTATGCACTATCACTACAGCAGTGCACACGGACTATGGTGGTTCGTGGTATCACTACAGCAGTGGCTAGTGACTGTGGTGTAACCTGCAATTAATACAGCAGTGCATACTGTGGTGGTACCTGCTATCAGTACAGCAGTGCATATTGCCTGTGGTGGTAGCTGCTATGATAACAGCAGTGCATACTGTGGTGGTACATGTGTTGAGGAGTTCCCAGGACGCAAGGGGATGGAGGTAAGGTTATTAAAGCTATTACAATCTAACACAAGGGTACACAACTCCCAGGGGTTAGGGGTCCTATGCTGAGTCCTGGTCCCTGCCCGGCTAGCTCCGGTCTCTCTCTCCGTGTCGGATCGGGGACTCTGCCAACTCCACCGAACGGAGAGAGAAGCACCTCTATTGGCTACCACCGGCGTCCTTCCAGACTCACGACTTCGTCCCTCTACATCCTGGTTCCCTCTCTACCCTTCTCACTCTATCCGTTCCCACAGTGACCCCGCTTTCGTCACGGGTTCTCCCTTAAATACTCTAGGAGACGTGACATAATCGAACTGCCCAGCACACATCACGTCACACGTTCCTTGACGTCACACGTTCCTTGACGTCACACATGACGTCACGTCCCCATTTTACTCCTCTACACATGGTTTAACAAAAGCAGTGCATACTGAATGTGCTGGTACCTGCTATGATGACAGCAGTGCATATTGACTGTGGTGGTAGCTGGTATGATTACAGCAGTGCATACAGTGGTGGCACCTCCCTTAGGTCGACTCAGCCTCAAATGAGTATCTGGTGCGGTATGTAAAAACATCACCACTGGGAAGACAAAGGTAGCCAGTCGTAGTGCTGGCCACTCCCTCATGTACCGTGTTGGCTTTCATAGGTGCTTGCTAATAGCACTTTCCCAAATGGTATGTTAAGGCTATACGGGAGATCTTTGTCTTTGGTCCGGAGAGAGGTCATGATTCCTTGAGAACAGGTGAGAGAGTTTTTGTAGTCAGAGAGCTTTCATCTTCAGGTTGATGTAGGTGGCACAGAGAGTGGATGGTGGTGCAGTGGAGAGAGAAGCTGTGAATGTTTGTGAAGAGGTGCTATTGCTGGTGCTCTTACGGGACCTTTCATCTGCTGGTCCTGGGTCCAGTTAGGGAACTTCTTCTTGATGGCACTGATCATGTCGATGAGGATGCCCGTGCCCTGCTTCAAGTGGTCTTCGCTGTCCCACGTACCCACTGTGTTGTGGAAGCGCTTGTCCACCTGGACAAAAACACCGATGCTTCATATAGCCTTAACCAGACTGTTGGGCAAGTTCTGTTAGTAAGCACCTACGAAAGCTGCAACGGCACACAATGGGGTGGTGTAGCAAGCACCACATACAACTGCCAGTGCTGATGCATACACACCGTACATTTTACTAATTTGAGGCTAAGTCAACTGAGGGGATGCCCTGGACCAGTTCAAATATTCACTCCCAATGTAGGTGTCATGAGCGGGAAGCAAACTTATGTGACTTGGGTTCATGGTACATTGACACCAATTATCCAAATTTATACATTTAACTATTTTTGTTTAGACACGGAATTTTAGTCTATTTGTTTGTTTATCTCCCTTTTGATGGGACTTTGTAGGATGAACGTTGAGGTTTATAAGGGCACGGGGTGACCAATAAAGTCTGAATGGGTCTGTAATAAGGTAGGCACTGATAAGGGGTTAACAGGTATGGGTGTGTAACAAATTCGTGTGGTGTGTACCAGTGCTTTTCCAGGTAAAGGACACGATTCCAGTTAACGCAGTTACACGCAAATTTACCTGTGTCTATGTTACCTGAACGATCTCAGAATAAAACAAATTGGCAATGCAGTTTTAGGTTAGAATCTCAATTGTTTATCATGGTGTTCATCTACTATCACGTGTAATGCTAGGGTCGCAGTGCAGGGCCAACTGTCTTAAGATGCTTAATTATTTCAAAATGTATCAAAGACATTAGTGAAGGAGTTATATATATTTGTTATTGTGCTAAATTTAGGAAACAACCAGACTATTTCTTATCATACTCGAGAGAGGATTTGAGTTCGGAAATTGTGCATGCTCATTCTTACAACCTTTCTTCTGTGACACGAGAATAATTTGATGCCTATTTCTTTTCTACCTTATAATTCTGAACGCTAGATCGCAGAGCTAACATTTTAGTTTACACAGCAGTGGGAGCGCTCATGGCAGTACAGCTGATTCGGGACTGCAAGATTTTGGGTTCTCACTTCCCCCTACTGTACCTTGTTTGCGTGCAACATTGTCCCGTGTTGCAGAGTGGAACAGTGAATGTTACCACACACTAATTCAGTTTCAACTTACCTTGTTCGAGTTCAACACCCTCCTTTTCTGGAGAGTGAGAAAAGTCTCGCCCAGGCAGCATTTTCAAGTACAGTAAACCCTTATTAATTCGACACATATGGGGCTCTGGTCTTGCCGAATTATCAAATACCGAAATAAAGCTTATTTAGTCCAAGGTCAACATCCCACCCAGTGCAGGAGAGAGTGAGAGGACGTACCCTTGGATCAAGGGTAATTATTCGCGGTGACTGGAAAATTACGGGAATTGAGTGTGCCACCCATTTTCAGGGAGCAAGATCTGTGATTCCAAGAGGGTCGTTGTACTATCGGCATCTGGGAGTGAACCATATTTGGCGTCAAGTATCTGCGGTGTTGATTTATGGTTTTGTGTCACGCGTTCCGGTTTGTTGGTTTTCGTTGCATTATTAAATTGCTTTTCCATCAGAGCAACATATGACGTCCTTCCAACACCAGTTAATCTTCACCAATGGTATGGTGAAGATCCGGACTGTGCCCTCTGTTCCATGCCAGCCAACCTCAGACACATTCTCACAGGGTGTAAAACAAGCCTCACCCAAGGACGCTACACTTGGCGTCACAACCAAGTCCTTAAAAACCTTGCGTCCGCCCTGGAGGACAAGCGAGCTGCCACCAACTCCCTACCACCCCCAGCAGCATCACATCCCTTACGGACGACCTTTGTCCGCGAAGGGGCTAAACCACCGAAGAGCGGCTCTACACCAATAGAGCGAGACCAGCTGCGCTTGGCCCGCGACTGGAAAATGCTAGCTGACATTGGCCGGCAACTTGTGTTTCCTCCGGAGATCGCAACCACCACCCTAAGACCTGACATGGTGCTCTGGTCCTGTTCGCTCAAGAAGGTCTTCATCATTGAGCTCACAGTACCCTGGGAGGACTCAGTAGATGAGGCTTATGAGCGAAAACATCTGCGCTATGCCGATCTAGCTGCCGAAGCGCGGCATCATGGCTGGAACACAGAAGTCCGACCAGTGGAGGTGGGCTGCAGAGGTTTTGTGGCAACATCTACAACCAGACTGCTTAGAGACCTGGGAATTAAGGGCCAGAGCCAGCGTTCGGCAATCAGAGCTGTATCGGAGGCGGCAGAAGGCAGCAGTCAGTGGCTCTGGATGAAGAGGAAAGACCCCAGCTGGGCCCCAAAGTGAGAGGGCCCGGAGGTATGCAGTCAACAATGCTTGACTCAGGGAGGAGGACACCCCTGCCATGCATAGTCCCATGGGATGTTGGCTATCAACAACAAGGCAACTCCTATGACTAATTGGGAATGGGACGCAAGCGTAGGATTGATCACCCTGTCGCTGGCCGCCTTTGGGGAGGGTGTATAGTATGAAAGGCCGAAACACCCTAGGATCCAAAGGTTCACTACTGACGATGCGCTCCCCAAATTTCACCAGGCTCACTGTTCATGAACTCTTGGAAGTGCTTGCACAAAGGATAGTAACATCTCATCCTGTGTTCTTTGGAATCTGAATATCTGGACTTGTCCAGTGACTGCTGAGAAAGATCAGCTGACAACAGGGGAAAGTCCTTGTGGCGGCACGGAGAGACGGCTGACAGGAGGGAATAGACCCCACTGGGACAGTCATGGGTTAGCTTCCCGTTTCTGTAGTTTCCCATGCTTCGCAGTATGTTGGAAACACCCGCTTTAGCTACAGAAAGTCAACATACGAGAATACCCCTAGAGTCTGCGAGAGCGGGGGCGGAAGATGACTCATCGACTGACAACATGGTAACGACTGGACCGGAAACGACTACGAGTAATGAGAGCATAGCACAAGAGAACACCACAGCAACTGTCACAAGTTCCGCTGCAACAGCAGGCCACAAACAGATGCAGGTATGTGTCTGTTGTTGGAGGAAAGTTACATCACACCATGGGTTGAGGATCCACCAGGGGAAGAAGGGGTGTTTGGGTAAAGAGAGACAGAGGCCTCGCATTGATTACTTTCTGCGAAAGCGATCATATCAGTCGAATGAAGCACAGCAACTGGATGCAAACCATAGTTTGCAGTGCATCAGTACCACTGTCATGGAGGACGTAAACTCAAGCACCGAAGTAACAACTGAGGTGGAACCAACAACAGGAGTGGAACTCACCCAGCCTCCCAGACCTGCAGTCGAGAGGAGACTACCAGGGCACAGACCGTATGTGAAGTGGCCTGGCGCCAGTGACAAGAAGTTGTGGGAAACAGTGAATACTGACCTTACCTTGACCCTCGAGAAACTTCGAGGCACAGTGGAGAAGAAGTTGGAGAGGATGGGGGACATCATCTATGAGTACGGGGCAGAAAGCTTTGGAGTGCAAGAGGCAAAAGGCAGGAGAAAGGTTCCAACCCCACCAGTTTCCAGGAGGCAACAAGAAATCAAGCGCCTCGTTCAAGAAAGGAGACAGCTTAAGAAACAGTGGAAGAAAGCCTCGGAAGTGGAAAAGGAGGGCATAGAGGCACTTCAGGCTGACATCAAAACCCGGTTGGCATCCCTCCGTAGAGCAGAGAACCTACGGAAGCGCAGAAGGAAGAAAGAACAAACTAGAACTCGATTCTATAAAGATCCCTTCAAGTTCCTTAAAAGTCTCTTCCCGAATGAAAAAAGTGGAGTTCTAAAAACAACAAAGAAAGACCTAGAAGAGCACCTGAGAACAACAAACTTTGACTCAAAGCGACATGAACATCTGACCATCCCAGCAGATATCCCACCCATTGAACCCCCGGAACATCATATTGAGACCAGCCCACCGACATGGAAAGAGGTGGAAAACACAGTTCGAAGGGCAAGAACAGCATCAGCCCCGGGGCCAAATGGAGTCCCGTACAAAGTGTATAAGAACGCACCAGACGTCCTGAGGTTCCTCTGGAGGCTCATGAGAACAGCTTGGCAAAAGAAGATAATACCCAAAGTGTGGCATAGGGCAGGCGGGGTCCTGATCCCTAAGGAGAAGGATGCAGTGAACATCAGCCAATTCCGCCCAATCTCCTTACTGAATGTCGAGGGTAAAATCTTCTTTAGGGGCATTGCCCAGAGGATGGCCGAGTACCTGCAAAGGAATGCGTACGTCGATACATCTGTACAGAAGGCAGGAATATCAGGGTTCTCTGGCTGCTTGGAACATTCCAGCGTGATCTGGCACCAGATCCAAATGGCCAAGGTGGAGAAAAGGGACCTCCATGTAGTCTTCCTCGACCTCGCCAATGCATTTGGCTCTGTGCCCCATGAACTCCTGTGGTCTGCCTTCAGATTTTTCCACATACCAGACACCATCACAACCCTGGTGAAGTCGTACTTTCAGGATCTGCAGTTCTGCTTCACCACCTCAGAGTTCACCACCTCATGGCAATGCCTGAATGTAGGTATAATGGCGGGATGTACCATTTCTCCATTGGCATTCATAATGGCAATGGAGGTTATCATCAGATCCTCAAAATGGGTTGCTGGTGGACAGCGAGTCGACTCTGGTTTTCGCCTCCCTCCACTCAGAGCCTACATGGACGACATTACAACATTGACCACCACTGTCCCATGCACCAGGAGACTGCTCAGAAAACTCGAGGAGAACATCAGCTGGGCCCGTATGAAGATTAAACCATCCAAGTCACGCAGCATCTCGATTGTGAAGGGAGTACTCTGTGACCTGAAATTCTTCATCGGAGATGACCAAATCCCAACAGTGTCTGAGCAGCCGGTAAAAAGCCTTGGAAGGTGGTATGATGCAAGCCTGAAGGACAAAGACCAGGTGCAACAGCTGCGCAAAGACATCAGTAGTAGTCTACAGTCCATCGACAACACCCAGCTACCTGGAAAGTTAAAGGCCTGGTGTCTGCAGTTTGGTCTCCTACCCCGGGTGTTGTGGCCCCTAGCAGTGTATGAGGTTCCAATCTCAACAGTGGAGAAGATGGAAAGAGGAGTCACGAGCTACTTAAAGAAGTGGCTCGGAGTTCCACGATGCCTTACCACCATAGGCCTCTATGGAAATGGTGTCCTCAAGCTGCCCCTCACCAGTCTAACCGAGGAATTCAAGTGTGCAAAAACCAGGCTCCAGATGACTCTGAATGAATCTCGAGACCCAGTGGTGAGCAACAACGCGCCGACCTTGGCAACTGGGCGCAAATGGAGGCCAGGAAAAGCAGTCCAGGAGGCAACAGCAGCCCTCAGACATGCTGACATTGTGGGTCATGTTCAGCAAGGGAGAGGAGGCCTTGGGCTAACTAGCCGTGCTGCTTGGAGTAAGGCCACTGCACCAGAGCGGCGGAAGATGGTAGTGCAGGAAGTACGCCATCAGGAGGAGGCTGCAAGGTGGGCCAAGGCAGTCTCTCTTGCCAAACAGGGACAGTGGACTCGATGGGACAGTGTGGAGAAGAGGAAGATCAGCTGGAAGGATCTGTGGGCCATGGAAGCGAGGCGGTTGAGCTTTTCCATCAGAGCAACATATGACGTCCTTCCAACACCAGTTAATCTTCACCAATGGTATGGTGAAGATCCGGACTGTGCCCTCTGTTCCATGCCAGCCAACCTCAGGCACATGTGTAAAACAAGCCTCACCCAAGGACGCTACACTTGGCGTCACAACCAAGTCCTTAAAAACCTTGCGTCCGCCCTGGAGGACAAGCGAGCTGCCACCAACTCCCTACCACCCCCAGCAGCATCACATCCCTTACGGACGACCTTTGTCCGCGAAGGGGCTAAACCACCGAAGAGCGGCTCTACACCAATAGAGCGAGACCAGCTGCGCTTGGCCCGCGACTGGAAAATGCTAGCTGACATTGGCCGGCAACTTGTGTTTCCTCCGGAGATCGCAACCACCACCCTAAGACCTGACATGGTGCTCTGGTCCTGTTCGCTCAAGAAGGTCTTCATCATTGAGCTCACAGTACCCTGGGAGGACTCAGTAGATGAGGCTTATGAGCGAAAACATCTGCGCTATGCCGATCTAGCTGCCGAAGCGCGGCATCATGGCTGGAACACAGAAGTCCGACCAGTGGAGGTGGGCTGCAGAGGTTTTGTGGCAACATCTACAACCAGACTGCTTAGAGACCTGGGAATTAAGGGCCAGAGCCAGCGTTCGGCAATCAGAGCTGTATCGGAGGCGGCAGAAGGCAGCAGTCAGTGGCTCTGGATGAAGAGGAAAGACCCCAGCTGGGCCCCAAAGTGAGAGGGCCCGGAGGTATGCAGTCAACAATGCTTGACTCAGGGAGGAGGACACCCCTGCCATGCATAGTCCCATGGGATGTTGGCTATCAACAACAAGGCAACTCCTATGACTAATTGGGAATGGGACGCAAGCGTAGGATTGATCACCCTGTCGCTGGCCGCCTTTGGGGAGGGTGTATAGTATGAAAGGCCGAAACACCCTAGGATCCAAAGGTTCACTACTGACGATGCGCTCCCCAAATTTCACCAGGCTCACTGTTCATGAACTCTTGGAAGTGCTTGCACAAAGGATAGTAACATCTCATCCTGTGTTCTTTGGAATCAAAGTTTTGTGGTTATATCTATGGGACCTTATTGCCAGTATCCAAACTGATGAAAATATAACTGCTCAACCCAAGCTATAAGTGTTCTGATACCTGCATTGTCTTTGTACTGTTCGCCTTTTGGCATTCTCTGGTCTAATACTGGTGAGACAGGGCCATGAAAAAGGCTGCCTCTGGTGTAGGCCAATCAGTTTCAAACACAATGCATACATTATCAGAGCATGTTTGTTTGCATCTTTTGCCACAAGTATGTGTGGTTAATGGTGTGCGAACATCTTAACACCTGGTTTATTGCCAGAAAAGATAAAACCTATTCTTATTTTGAATCATGTTTTGTGGTTGCGAAGTGAGTAGTTGCCTCTCTTTTGTGGCCCTGGGGTTTGCCTGAGTGGGGTGGTTCATCTAATGAGGCTTGGTAAGCGGATGGGCTTTCCTTTGAGGGAAGAGTTATAGGGCTCAGACAGAGGTGAAGTGAGACACAGAGACACCTAGTAACATAGATACTGAGACAAACATTGAGATGGTGACAGAGAGTGAGACAGGCATTGAGGTTAAGTGAGAACGAAAAAGTGAGAGTGATGCAGAGATATTTGTGATACAGTCACAAAGAGTGAGACACTGAGAAAGAGAGACACAGAGCCACACAGGGAGATACTGATATACCGAGGGATATCGAGCCCATGGCCATGAACTCCCACGCAGAGTTCATGCACGTGCTGTGCCTTGCACCCTGGGCCTGTTTTGCTTATACTGTGCCCTGGCAACTCCTCATGTTCTCCAGAGCAAGGTACCACAAGGACCTGGGGATGGGAACTCTAGGGACTGGCAATGGTGGGTGTAAGCTAACTCTGTGAGAATGCTGTGAAACGCTGTTTGTTTTTTAATTGTTGCCCTGATGTATCTTGTCCTTTCAGGATTAGGACATCCCCACTGAAACGTGTGGCTTTTGGTGTTATTAACAAAGTGGTGATTCAGCAAAACTTGGTCTTTGTATTCCGTCCGGGGTGAGCGCCGAAAGGACCATGTGAATGTATATGGTGGTAGAGGAGGGGATAACGTACACCTCCCTTCTACCACACTGAGCTGGTGAGAGACCAGAGACATCAATCGCTTAAATAATCATATAAACCAAGCTCCCCAGAAAACATGATACTGTGGTCTAAAACGGGCCAGTGGTTCGTCAAATGTTAAGTCAACATTGTCATGTGGTTGGGCCAACGTTGCCAAGTGGTTGGCCGAACTTTGGCCCAACAACATTGGCCCAAGTGTCAATCTATTCCCGGGACCCACCTGCATTAGTCCGAAGCCATTGCCGTTATCGCCAAAGCCTTTAACGAGCAGAGCGCCGGCACGCGACTCGCGAGAGATGATGGCCGCGATGACAGCCGGGTCCATGCACTTGGCGTTGGCGGTGGCCACGATGATGGTCTTGTAGTTCTTGAGGCGGTTCAGGTCGGCGTTCACCAGCTTCTTGGATGCGGCCACTCCTGGGATGGAGAATAATACAACTTGGGCTGTTGCAGCATTCAAGATCATGCTTTAGACCAGGGGTGGGGAACCTTTTTTCTGCCAAGGACCATTTGGATATTTATAACATCATTCACGGGCCATACAAAATTATCAACTTAAAAATTTGCCTGTCATATTTGGTCAAACATTTAATTAACTCACCCCTAATGTGATGGCTGGAACTGCTTCTCTTTGGTGAGGCATGTGATGTTAGCTGGTATTGATGATGTTGCTACTCGCAACTGTTTTCAGGTTTGCGTCGGTCAGTCTGGAGCGCAGTCGACTCTTTGCGATGGTAAGTTTTGAAAAGAACTGCTCGCAGCAGTAAGTTGTTCCGAACACAGATGCATATTTCAATGCATGCCTCCTCCAAGTGGGAAATTGATTATTGCTTATGTAACATTTATAGAACTCAAGTAGTGGGAGGTTGTTGTACCTAGCTTTCAGCTTATCATCGCTTTGCAGCTGAATAATTTCGTGTTGTAGGTTATTAGGCATATCAGCTGGTTCCACATTGAATGGTGTAGCAAAGATGATCAATTCCATGTTTACTTTTCACGTCCTTGAATCTTGCATTAAATGCCTCAATTAGTTTCGCACATTCACCAGCATATTCAAGTGTCGTAGAAGGTAAAGTCACGTAGGTGAAAATAAAAAATATAAATGAAAAACAGAATTACTGTAGTGGGCAGAGAGCTATTTGTCTATTTGTCACAAATAGCTCTCTCTGCCCACTACAGTAATTAAGTTTTTTTGTTGTGGTTGTGCCACCTGATGACGGAAGCTTGTGTTGCCTCCGAAACGTCGTGATTTAATTTAGTTATTTTAATTTTTATTTTCACCTACGTGACTTTACCGAAAGAACCAAAGAGTATGGATCCTTGCAGTCACGAAAATTTCAAATCTAGAATGCCATAGAAGGCTTTTGTCCTTTCAGTGGGGAAATGCACCGTGTTATCCCTTTCGAGTTGCACTTTCCACAGCCTTAATTTAGCTTCAAATGATTTTACGTTTGAAAGCAGGGAGCTGAGAAGCTGGTTGGGGGCCTGCAGCTTGACGTTCAGCTCTGAGAGGTACTTGGTAATGTCCTCCATGAACGCTAAATCACACAGCTACTTGCTATCGTTGAGTTCCCTGACAGGTTTTCCCTTCATCTCCATGAACTGCTTGACTTCATCCCGCAGTTCGTAAAACCTCATGAGCATGTTCCCGCGACTCAACCACCGCACTTCACATTGATAGACAACATCACCGCACTTAGTCAAGATCATTCAGTAACTCCTTAAACTGGCGGCTGTTAAACCCTCTGCTTTTGACAATATGTATGCATGACACTACTGCTGACATCACATTGTTGAGCCGCAACGACTGTGCACAGATACTTTTTTGGTGTATGATGCAGTGGAATATAATTAAATCACTTGGATCAAGACTGAGACTATTCAGTTCTTTCTTGACAAATGCAATTAACCCTTTTTGCGAGCCAACCATGGCTGGAGCTCCATCTGTAGTAAGGCCACTTAACATTAAAAATGTTAGCTCAAGTTTTTCATTGATAAAACAAGTCTCTCAAACAAGTCCTCACCTCTTGTAGTGTCATGCATGGCTTCCAGTGATAGCAGTTCCTCTCGCGTGTCAAACTCTGCAGTTATCCCACGAACGAAAGCGGCCAATTGGGCAGTATTTGTTACGTCCGTTGTCTCGTCCCAAGCCAGAGAAAAAAAATGGAAATCCCCTGCAGAATCCTTTAGTGTTTTTTAAAAATCTTGTGCTAAGTCAGTAATCCGATCTGAGACGGTTTTCCGAGACAAATTAACACTCTGAAATGTTTTACTTTGTCTGGTGCTTACAATCCTGCAGCAGCCACCATGTACTCTTTCACAAACTCTCCTTCTACATGAGGCCTCAGCTTATTTGCGAGGATGCTCGCTCACTACATAATTCGTCTGAATAACGTTGTCTCTGCCACAACAAGGCCTAGTGAAAGCGGCTTGTTGTGATTCCAAACTCTGCTGAAGAGAATTGATTTTATCCAGACGCATTTTGCCTCCACATTCATTGCGTTTAGCATGTTTTGAGCTGTAATAACGCTCCAGATTGGCTTTTTTTATTACTGCTAACGCATCGCCACAAACTATGCATACAGGTTTGCCTTTGACTTCAAGAAAAAAATAATCATTGGTCCATTTATCTTGGAAAGATCGACACTCTGCATCAACTTTTCTTTTCTTCGTAGTCGCCATTTGTAGGATGTCACACCACTTAGGTGTTTATAACTATCCAGTGTGTGTGTCACCAGCGACACGATTATTCAGTAAAGCAAAGCTACCGAGCGGGATGGGCCGTCACGTCATCGTGGACGGGAGCAACGTCGCCATGGCTCGCGAGTGAGAGTGAGCGAGTGTGAGTGAGCGATAATGAGGAGGCCATAATGGTGGGGAGGATGCCATGATGGCGGGGAGGAGGCCGTGATGGCGTGGAGGAGGTCGTGATGGCGTGGAGGAGGCCGTGATGGCATGGAGGAGGCCGTGATGGCGGGGGGGATGCCATGATACACTCACTCATCATACACTGACTCACTCACACATCATACACTGACTCACCCATCATATGCCGACTCACTCACATCATACTCTCACTCACACAACCACTGACTCATTCACTCATCATCCACTGATTCACTCATCATACACTCACTCATCATACGCTGACTCACTCACACATCATACACTCACTCACACTACCACTGACTCACTCACTCATCATACACTGGTAGTGACTCATGTTATTAGCTATGGCTGCCAGTTTGGTCGTACATGTTATGTATATCGTTTATTGTTAAATTTGAATCACAGTTCCTATGATCACTGTTGTTACATTGTTTTAATAGCTTTACTTTGGTGATTTCGAAAACATATGGTTAAGCCATGTTTCTTGTGGAAGTGCGGAGTTGGCCTGATAAATTTAATCTCAATTGTCTTATGGTTGTTGTTTGACTTGCATCACACGGGGATTTTTGCACACAGCGTTGTAATATGGTGGGTTTTTTTCTGGAAGATTTGCTGGTTTATCCAGGATGTTTCTGTTGCGCGTCGTCGCTTTAAGATGTTCTCTGTTCATATTTTGTTTGTTGTGGTTGCACCTAACTCAAGAGCCGCATAGCATCTTGGATTTGGAACATATCCAAAGTTCGTATCATTGACTCTTGAGGTCTTTTCTATGTACTGTAATTTCCTTAATCTTAAATCAGAGATTCAGTTTTTGTGAGGATTGTTGATCGTGGACGTGTCGATAAAGGTTGGATTGGAGTTTCGTCTGTGTCGACAAAGAAGTCGACAACATCGTCGTCAATTATCGGAAACAAGGTCATCAACATCGCAAGGAATCGTCTCATCGCATCTCTTCTCATCACCAGATCGCCGTAGTTTCGCCACTGTATTAACACTTTCGCAACGTGTAAACTCCCAGCCTGCCTGGCACTGACTGTCCTCTGAGTCACCGCAATACAGGCAGATGGGCTGCGGGCAGCCGACGAGAAGCATACGTGTCTGTACTCTTATGTTTCCTGTCTATCCCGTAATGGACATTCCTTGCTTATCTCTCAAAATGTAAGTTATTATTATGATTCACTTAATATGAATGTATGTTGCTATGACAAAAGCTCCTAGATTGATTGAATTTCGAGTCCCGCCTGCGGTTGCCTTGGCAGGGCCAGACCAAATGATTTCACAGGCCTTATACGGCCCGTGGGCCGGATGTTCCCCACCCCTACTTTAGACTAAGACATCATAGATGCCAAAGCTGCTAATGCCACCAGTGCACATCATTGCGACTGACCCTCTCTATCCTCCACCAGATTTCACAGCTACTACATGGTTAAGACCGAGCCACCTCCAAGATTTGTCCAACAGTCTCCAACCACATGCTCTTAGACTTGCATAAAGACCCATAGACATACACAGAAAATAATACACTCATATGAACACCTATAGACTTGCACAGAGAGCCATAAACTCACACAGAGATCCACAGACATCTACACAGATCCATACATTTACCATGACAGTCTGTCACCATCTGGCCTGAGCTATTCACTTCCCCTTAGAAGCCAGATTCAACAATCACTGACCTTTCCGCATCTTATTAATCTACAGTACAATCTTCACCTGCCATCTTCTCTCTCTCCCCTATCCCCCTCCGTCTGCTCAGGAAGGTGGAAGACATGGATATAAAGGACAGCATCTCATCTATAATCATCACCATGATTACTATCACATGATTTGGTGATGCTAATGCTGTGATAGCAGTCAAATAACCAAAAACTCCAACATGTTCTGAAAAAATAACACTGCTTTTTGAGGAATGGCACTTCTTCATGGCTCGTAAATGGTGAGCTATGAAGAAGACCATTGCACGAAATGTCACCTATTATATATTCTTATTAAGGCCACATTGATATTAACAAATGTGCTCAGTTTTTTTTTCATAATGAAGTATTATTATCATTGGCCGGTTAGCGGCAATGTACACAATGACATCATATTCATCATATACAACATTATCTAACAACTATTGCGCGTTAGTTGAACGTTAGTGGCTATGCTGCACGTGGCCTGCAATCTGTGGAGGCAGCAGAGAGTGTTGGTGGATCACACACAAATGTTGTGAAGTCCATGGGCATCAAAGAGGAGCCATACCGTGGTTCTGCCATGAGAAGGTAGCACATGGCACAGTAAAAATTTGGACTCCATCTGTTCCATCTGTTTGAGATGGAATGTTTCCCCCTTGCATGTGTAGTAAGTATATATGGAGGCTTGACGACAGGATCGGAGGCACACTTCTTTATTACACCAACACAGTTGTACAGGTCACTTGGCTACAGGGATTCTCGACAGCTAACCCCTCTAACCTATACCAATTCCTCCACTACGGGACTAGGGGAGGCTATCTGTCCCAGCTTGGTTAAGCTGGGATCCCGGCTCCCTGAGTCACCAGACCAGCTTCGTCTGGGCTCTCGGGGCCACGCCACCGGCTTGCCCTGGTCGGCCCTTATAAGGACAGCGAGCCAGGGGAGCTCTGGGGCCTACACTAGCTGGTCTTCCGTCTTCTCTGGTTAAAGCTGAGTCCCGACCTCGAGCCCTCGAGCTCATCACCTTTTATAGGACTCGCCCCCGAGGGGGGGCCCGTGGGGGATACACATGCGGACGTCGGTGCTAGCGCCACCCTTGTGTACGGCCGTAACCCCGCCCATTGTGTTTGTTGGCCATCCGTGGCCATGCATAATCACACCTCAACATTCGTAGCCATGCGCAATTACACCTCTACATCACCCCCCCCTGTACAGCTCGCAGCCGTCCCTGGCTGCAAAAAAAAAAAAAAAAATCAGAATAAAGGTGCATCCCTCACAAAAACCCCGTGTGTGTGCCTCGCGTAATTTTTAACAAGAACAAGAGAACCTTAACAAGAACAACAACAGGAAGAGAGAGAGAGAGAGAGGAAAAAAAAATAACCCGACGCACCCCCCCCGAATAAATACCCCAAAACCAACATATATACACACACTCCGGACGCCACCCCTCCCATTGTCCGCAAGGCCCCCCAACGGCCGACCTCACAATAGTCTGCGCGTTTTGGCGCGCGTCCGCGCGGCGGGCCCATCACAAGGGCCCGTCCTGGCACGCTCAGTGACGGTTGTTGACGGTCCGGGTGCAAGAGAGTCAGGCGTCGCTGCCGAGTGACCCCCGACCCCTCCGGGAGGGGTTGGTGGGTGTGGACCCGTCACTCCTGTTTCACCTGGGGACGGAACAGTTGGCGTCAGGTTAGGCGAGTGCAGCGACGACGGGGAGTCGGCGACACCCTCACACGTTTGGCCATGCGTGTGTGTGTGTGAACCACGGGGCGGCGCGACAAATGGTTTTAACCTTGAGGGGTGCACATACCACCGGCGCCTCCCCCATTTGACGCGAACACATTGCGGCCGCAAAACCTGCACGACCTCCACTGGCCCCCGCCACGGCCGTACCAATTTCGACGAGGTTGCCAGCGGCACCTGAGGACAGTGCAACCACGCCCTGTCCCCTGGTTCCCATTTGACCACCTGCACCCGCCCCAACCGAAGCCTCTCGTTCGCCTTCTGGCGGAGTTCAGAATTTTGCACGGCCGCTTCCCGCGCCTCAGACAATTTAGCGATGTTAAATTTAATGTGTTCGGACAAATTAGACTTCGCCGGGAGCGCCGAGAGCTTCAGCTGGGTCGCCACAGGGGGGTTAACTTCGCGCCCATACATTAAAAAGAAAGGGGAAAATCCGGTGGCCGCATGAGGAGCCATTCTGTAGGCCTGCAACACACCGGCTATGCGGAGGTCCCAATCCGTCTGGGATACCGACACCTGCTGGGACAGCATGGACGTGATGGTCCGATGCAGCCGTTCCACCATCCCGTCAGTTTGTGGGTGATACGGAGAGGTCCGAACCTTCTCCGTACCCAAGAGGTCGCACACCTCACGTAGGAGTTTACCAGAAAAATTCCTACCCTGGTCAGTAAGCAGCCGTTCCGGAGCACCTTTGTCGAGGACATAGCCCTGGACAAAGGCCTCCGCGATGGCTGCTGCCGACTGGTTCGCCAGGGGCCAGGCCATAGGCC